TAACCTGATTGCAATCTCTCCCCCTGATTACCATTTCTTCACTTGTATTAATATTAAACATTTCTTCTATATTATTTCTACCAATTATTAAAATTACCTTTAATAGGGTGAAACTAAAAACAGTCAAATTCTGTTCCTTCTGTCGCCAAAACTGTGTAGCAGTTGTTGTTTTTTTATTGGAGTATTGATAGGCGTTGAGTGGGGGGCCAAAGAGGGGGGGGGGGATGGGTGTTGAGGCTGTTGCAATGCACTATTATTGAGCAGCATGTTACGCATGATTAAACCACACAATATTTAATGATTAGTAGGTCCCGATGTTTATATAGCTTTAATAATTTACTTTCTGTTTAAAATAAACTTAGGCAGCAGATGTATTATATAGCTTTCCCATAATGATTACCTTGATCCTAAGTAATCCTAACCCAATTGATTAACTATCCCTTAGGCTTATCCCCCCCCCCCCCCCCCAACCTTTTCTGGGGTTATCTATATCCCATCAGTGGCTTAGCTATATTTTGTGCCACCAGGGGGCGGGCCAAGCACTTTGCATCACCAATTGGCAGCCGATGTATTATATAGCTTTCCCATAATGATTACCTTGATCCTAAGTAATCCTAACCCAATTGATTAACTATCCCTTAGGCTTATCCCCACCCCCCCCCCCAACCTTTTCTGGGGTTATCTATATCCCATCAGTGGCTTAGCTATATTTTGTGCCACCAGGGGGCGGGCCAAGCACTTTGCATCACCAATGCCATGGAAAGAAAACTCTAGTCTGCCGAAGATCTCGCCCATCAAAATAAGGGGAAAAAACAGTGCCACCTGGGCCGGCCCACCCCACCGTACCCCATTCTACCCCACTATATCACAAACGATTGCCTATCCCAAATAATACTTGACCTTTATGACTCTCTGCCACATGTGATTATCTATTTGCATATGGTTTATCTACCCTATATGATTTTCCAAGTTATGTATGCCTATATAAAATTAAGTGCAATAACCTTTTTGTCTGTATCATCAAATATCTATCTAATCTTGAGAAATAAAAGATATAGCTGACATTTTTCATCAGACAGTCTGTGTCATTTTGTTCTGGTGTGGATTAAAACAATCGTACAAATATCACAAAAGCCAAAGCTTAACTTCCCATGATATTTTTAGGATGATCTTTACTAATAACCTTTATTTGGCCAATACATGATACGAAATGAAGTAATGCGCTCAAGCTGTGTGAAGGAAATGGTGGAACAAGGTGTGCGGGAGCTTGAAATAAGACAGGACAACAAAAGGTCTCGGCTAAGGCTCTAAGTCTAAGAGCCTAGCTCAGCAGACAGAAAAAAAATGAATAAACGAGCTTCCACGTACCTTGTTCCATTCATTGGCCAGCTTGGGTTTAACCCTATGCAGCCCCCCCTCCCCCCCCCCACCCCGTTCTAATTGTTTTGTGACTGAATATAAGTTAGGACTCTTGTTTGTTGATATGGCTGTACTGAAGATCTTTATTCTGGTCAGCAACAAGTGGATGGTAAAAACACAAGCAAAAAACAGAGATCTAATCGTTTGTTGTTGTTTTTTTGTTCTTTGAGCAGTTCATGAACCGTTTGTGGAATCAGGTAAATATCATTTTGATCATGCTCAGCATTCTCTCTCTCTCTCTCTCTCTGTCCTTTGTACATTTTATTTATTTCTCTCTCTTCTTCTTCTTTTTTTTTTAAATACACTTTTGGGACTTATCCATTTTCTCCATAAAAAATATGTATCGATCTGATGGATTATGTGGATCTGAATCATATCAACAAATAGGAATGAGACCATTTCTAATACACACATTCACCCTGTTTGCGTTACAGAATGCTGCAGACAAACATCATATTGATGTCACATTATACTACATACAAAAACCATATTGGTGTCACAGAATACTTCATACAAAAACCATATTGGTGTCACAGAATACTTCATACAAAAACCATATTGGTGTCACAGAATACTGCATACAAACACCATAATTGGCGTGACAGAATACTACATACAAAAACCATATTGACGTCACAAAATACTACATACTTACACCATATTGGCGTCACAGAATACTACATACTTACACCATATTGGCGTCACAGAATACTACATACAAACACCATATTGGCGTCACAGAATACTACATACAAACACCATATTGGTGTCACAGAATACTACATACAAGCTGTCTACTGGTGTCACAGTATGTTACAAATGCATGCTCGTGTCAAAGACGACTTCAGGCAAACACCATGCTGGTGTCACAGAATACTACAAACACCATCTGTTGTCACAGGAGTCAGCAAACATCATCCTGGTGTGACAGGAAACTGCAGGCAGACACCATGCGGGTGTCACAGGAGACTGCAGAGAAACACCATCCTGGTGTCATAGGTGACTGAAGCAATTTATACTGTTCTTTTTATGTTAATAGGATATTTTCAAATGACGTGTCAAACATGTGGACACATATTTTAGGTGTGCCTAGCTGTTGGCAAGTCTTTGTAGACATATTTTAGGTGTGCCTAGCCATTGGCAAGTCTTTCGACACATATTTTAGGTGTGTCTAGCTGTTGACAAGTCTTTGGACACATATTTTAGGTGTGCCTAGCCGTTGACAAGTATTTGGATACATATTTTAGGTGTGCCTAGCCATTGAAAAGTCTGTGGACACTTTTTTTGTGTGTGCCTAACCGTTGACAAGTCTTTAGATATATATAGTGGGTTGGTGGAAGAGGTCCTCTTTCATGCACCAGGTCGTGGAGCTGGAAAGGACAGTTGCCCTGCCCCAAAATAGAGAAAGTCTGACCCTAATACCAGTTAATCCGCCATATGCGGAACCCTCACGTCCCTCTATACATTCGGCCTTGACCGATGCAGCAGTGACGAAACGTAGTCCTGAACATGTTCAGAAAGCGGCTGCCCTTGAGACCATCAATGTGTTCGCACACATACCTGTGAAAGTGTTCACGGACGGCTCTGCCAACTTGAGAGAAAGAACTGCTGGGTACGGTGCGCTCATAATGTATCCAGTGGGAGGACCACCAACAGAAGAGCTCTCGGGGCCCTGTGGGACTGCAGCATCAAATTTCGATGCGGAGCTTATAGCTGTACACAGGGCCTTGGAGAGAATTCATGACATATTGAAGGGGACGGAACATGCGGGGCTTGATGTAGTTGTTTACTCAGACTCAAGATCTGCTCTCGAGATCGTGGGAAAGAGACAGGGTGCAACACATTTGGTCGACGTCATTACCAATGACGTGTGCAAAATTTGTGAACTAGGGGGCAAGGTAACAATACAGTGGATACCTGACCACGTCAACATCAGTGGCAATGAGTGAGCGGACACTTTGGCGAAAACCGGGGCTGCCCAGCCTCACCCAGAAGTACCAATGACTTTTTTGGGAATCAAAAACTGGCTGACGGACCACTTCAGGCAGAAGTGGTACAGGCAATGGGCAGAGAACACGACCGCCAGAGGCGTCTATTCAAACTTGCCCACTCCTAGCAAACAGGACCCATGGTGGGGGTTAGGACGCAGACAGCAGAGCTTAGTGACGCAGATGCGCACCGAGCACTGCCCCTTGCGCACATATTTCTGGCGGCTGGATAACAACAGGGATCCTACCTGCCAGCATTGCAGCCTGGCCCCGAGACCCTAGAGCACCTGTTGACCGAATGTCCCTCACTAGATCTCCCGGGAGAAGCCAGGGCGGTTGGAGGACCCTTTGTGAGGAAAACGTTGTATGGCTCAGCTCGACAGATGGAGTTGATGGCCAATTTACTAGCCGGGGTCATTAGAGAGTAATCTCAGACCCTCACCAGAATATGTGTGTTAGTTAGTAGATGTGCCTAGTCCATTCACATCAAGGCTCCAGAAAGGGTAGACAATGTAATGATTAAGCATTATAGTTTTAATTGCTTTGGTAGGGGATTGAAATATGAGGAAAGAAGTGTGTAACAATTCTGCTATTTCATAATGCAAATCAGCTACTTCTGGGTGCCACTTAGAGGAGGGGGAGAAGAGGAAATTAATAAAGGGGGGGGGGGGGGGGGATTTAGAGCCATTTTCTTTGAAGGGGTAGGACTAGATGCTGGTGTCATTTAATCATGATGGAAACAGATGGTTAACAAGATGCACTGTTGTTGAGAACAAATGATGCACTTATGCAGCTGGTGGTTGAAGAAGCTGTTTTAAGTAGAATTAAACACTTTCCCTTTGGGGGTGGTCGGTTCATGTTATTGGAAATATAAGCGCATTTAACTTGTTTCATAATTTTAAATAATGGAATTAAGCTCCTTTAAGCCTTCATTCTCTTCTGTTGTTTCTAATAGTTTGATAGTCAGTCAATTATTTTTTAACATTTTTTATGGCAGATTTATGGCATTATTCTCATGAAAAATTGTTTCATTGTCTTGAATCAATAAACTCTCTGCAGATTCATTTCATTAAAATGACATAATTTTTTAGAGTGAAGAGCCAATGCATGTTTAATAAAAACTTATAAGTTGTATATAGCCTCGCCAGAAAATTGTTTTGACATCATGAATATATTTACGGGTACTAATTGAGTATCGGTATTACATCAAAAGTATTTCAACTCTATGCAGGCCCACACCTGGGGGGGGGGGGCGGACAAGGGACAACAATGGCACTTGTTAGGGGCCTGAGCTAGATAGGGGTCTGCCCTTTTAAAATATATGCACATGTTAGAGACACGAAAGGGGCCCGAACTCCGTCAGCTGCCTGAGGCCCAGCATTTCCTAGGTGCAGGCCTGCTCTATGAGACAGACAAATTCTGTTTCCTTCAACCTAAAAATATTTAACAATCATAAAGTGTTTAATAAATAATAAAACTCTCCCATATCAGTTTTACAATGGTTGCACACAAATTTATGCAATTGTAAATTGATAATTACATGAACAAGAAACATTCACGATTTCAGTTTCAGAAATTTTAATAAAGTGTACAAAATATAAATTTGTAACTCAAAAAAAGTATAAAATTAGAAATGGCATTAAATAATGATATTTGTTGAGGCCCTTTTTTTTTAATTCCTAATTTGGTTTCTTTTGTTTAAATGTATGAATCAGAATATTGTGGCTGATCTCACTCAAGCAAAAAACTAAGAAAATTTAGAAGAAAAAAAATTATTATATTTCAGTAAATAATATTTAAAAATTCATAGAATTTGAACAAGTACAATAACTAATGCTTTTTTGTTGCTTATAAATTTACTGATAACACACTGAATGAAAAAAAAAAAAAACTTTAATTTTATTTTAAACTTGTAGAGCTTAAAGTTAAAGTATTTAAATGTAAAAAAATATTTAAAAATACATTTACCAGCCATTCCGATGGGAAGATTGTTTAAATGCATTTGTGTAAAAGGATCTAGACATAAAACTGTGGCACCAACTCAGACTCACAAGTGACTATGGCCAACAGTGTAGCATTCAATCTTTTCGTTCATTTTCTAGTTACATAGAATTTATAGATATTGATTATGCTTAACTTGACAACCAGTCTGGAATGAATTTTACACACTGTTTTTGTTCCGAAATGAAATTGGTTCTAATTGGAATACTACAATTCATACACATCATGGTGCACTTACAGTAATGCATCCTTACAATCAGCAATTAATTCTTGATGCAATTATGAATAAAAATAGAATTCATATGCATATAAAATCTTAATCTCATGAAGCATGAATAATATTGTAGTTGTAGAGTTGATACCAAAAAAAACAAACAAATCATTATACTCTTTAAAAAAATCCTTGAGAGCTGAATAAATGCTGATGTCACTGATCTTCAAAAATCATAGTTTACCGACACAATAACGCTTAAACAGCTTAAACACGCATGAACACTTTGAATGAAACATTTACATATCTGCATGGAAACACATCAATAAAAAAAATCAATTAAAAAATCAAAAGTTACTCATTAATATTTTCAATGTCATAACAAAAAAATGCAAAATTCTTAAATAATGCCCAAAGAACTTATTCTAGAGTTATCTTTCTTAGATGCTCCAAATTGAACACACACAAAAATTGCTAATGAAAAATTACGCTTGGATGTTAAAAGAAGCCTTATGAACAAATTGGCATGAAGGGTGTGGCTTCTTAACAATGTCAGAGTGCCAGGTACATAGAGAATTAACACTGTAAACATTAAACCCAAAAGATTTATACCTACAATAAAGCACTATTACAATAACCTATAAAACATTTAAAATAATTTTTGATTATCAACACTGCATTTTGGGAAAAAGAAAATGATCATTAACATATTATGTGAAGGTAATGTTCATGCAATAACATTTTTCTTAGTGTGTTTCAAGTTTAGTGAAAACCTGAAAATGTTCCAAAATGTTATTTTACTCAACTTTCTATTCATCTATCATGTGAAGTTTTCTGAAAAGTATGCGATAAAAATACTCCTCATAATCCACAGGCACTTCTTAAGCTAGAGTTCAACAACTACAACAGTCATATACATCTGACATGCTAAACACATACCGTTCACAAAAAGAGTCCTGAACAACAATGATCTGACATCAGGTTGATCCCGTAGAACACATGATGGAAGTAAACAAAAGAAATAAAGAAATGTCACTACACTATTGACGATGCTCCAGCCAAACTGATGTTTAGTAGATCAATTACTCCTTGACAGCTTGAAAGTATCTATCAGCAAGCAAGTAAGCACTCTGTGTCAAATGAGTACTCATCAACTCAATTCATTAGCCGAATCCACACAGGATTTCCTGTCTCCTTGAGTTGTATGTCTCTTTCATTGTATCAAGATCATAGTTGGCATCAAGCAGCTGAAAAAGCAACGCATATTCAAGTAATTTTAGTGTTGTTTGTTGAAACAAAAATGACATCTCTTAACACACTTTTTCTTCATTGTCTTTGCACAAGTATTTTCACCTCAAAGAGAATAAAATCTGGTTTACATGATTAACCAGTAAACTTACAAGCACTGGTGCAGGAACTGGAGACAATCTGTTCAGGAGCCAATCATCATAAAGTCTGTGAAGGGACTCAATCAAGGCCTGCAGAATATATTCAAACAGGGCTACCAATTGTCCCTAAACTAAACTTGTGCTAAAGCTTCAGCGACACAATCTGACACATTTTTTGGTACATTAACTAAAAGAGTAAAAGAAATTATTTATTCTATTTTATTCATTTCAACCCTATTTTCTTAAAGTTAAACAGCCTCTTTAAAAGCAACATGAACATTTCATTTTTAGGTGTAATGGTTATTTCAGTGATTAATCTCTGACATTAATATATGAAGTTTCTTCATTTGATTTACAGGTACAAGGACAAGAAATTGCACTAAAACCGACCATAGATCTAGAAAAGGTAATTAAAAACCTAATGATACATGTTTCATATTATAAGTGCAGTAAAAAGTTTCCATTTAAATAAATACCTAAATTCTGTTATTGGCTTTTAATTTTTTTAAACCAAATAAAATGTTGTCATTAAATTACCAGAAAAACTGCAATGATGCTGAACTTACATAAGGGACCCCTTCCTCTTCTTTCCTACATCTTTTCTTTAAACGCTCAAAGCAATTTTCTGGGCTGGCTCTCAGATAAACTAAGATAATTGGAATTCCATGAAGTTGAGATTAATAAGAAGAATAAGTTTAGTGGAGAACAAAGGAGGGCTTTTCATTTTTTTAATCAGTCATTTTATTTTTATACTCTCCTTGGACACGTTATCTTATTTCATTTTTGTACAGTGAATCCAGGCTTTGCAATAATTTGGACCCATAAAATTGGATAGTGTTAATAGCCAGGTTAACTTAGGTTTCTTCTATATTCTTTTTGAATGGTCCTGGAATTTTAAACAATAGGAAGATAGGTTTACAAAAGCTGCATTTTTTAATATCTTGTGGTTAGAGAGCTATGTGGTGTTGAAGTTGGACTAGATTTAAATGATTTGTGATTTTGTTGTATGATAATATATATATCTTTTTTATACTGCTTTTTGGGGGGGAACAAAAAATTGAGCAAATGATTACATGTATTTTCAGGAGCTATGCCCCGACCCAGTTATAATCCAAATTCATGTAAAAACAGGGCGCATTATAGCTGGTTTACACTGTACACAGAGTTTACTAAAATAATAAAGTTTAAAAATCTCAATGAAAGCAATGCAAACATTTGAATGAAAGAGTGGTTTAGACAATTTTATCATATAAAATGACAATATAGCTTTCATCTTCAAGATTTCATTATTATAATATAACATTGCTTCTTACAAAAATTTGAATTTTCAAGAGTTGAAAATATTTTTTTACCAATAAGATCAACATTTGCATTTCCTGTCTGAACTAATTGTTCAAACCATTCACTAAAGACGGCAAACTCAACTTCGTTTATTGTTTTACTGAAAACAGAAAAATGGAAACAAATTCTTTACTCCATAAATGAATCAAGTTACAATTACAAGCATTTTTATAATGTAAGCTACAAGCAAGCATTTTTTTAACCTGAGCTTCAGCAGTATTTTAAAGGTATCATGATAGCTGCCTGAAGATTTAAAAAGGAAATCGTGTGCCAGTGGCATATAGACAGATAAGTGCCCCTATTATTATTATAAACCAAATAACTCAATTAGTTGTACATTAAAACATACTTTACGTAGTCATTTTGAACAAAACAGTAATGGGTGCTGTACAATGATCTCTCTAGCATTTTCACAGGACGGTCCTGAAAAAAGACACAAGTAAAACTTTGTAATCCTCACATTCAAAGCTCAATCTCCAATTTACAAGAAATATTGAAAAGATAGACCGCAATCCCAATTGAAGTATGGAGTTTTTATTTTTTTAAGACCCAGGAGTACGCAAGTACTTACTGAAAGATGTGGCTTTGTGTGCATCTTTAACCGGGTCAGCAATGCGTACATATTGAAGGAAAAGCTCCACCGCCTGGGATCCTGATACAGCAATCCCTGCATAAAAAAACATAACTTTTTTTGCTGCAATTACGGATACAAACTTCTTAAAAAATTTAATTTCTAGGACAGTTCATGATCTGTCAAAATTTGCTTGGTTTTTTAACTGTTTTGCTTGTTTTGAACTCCATCCAACAACTATGTGTGTCTTTGTCCTAGTGTGGTCACATCTGACCATATATAACATTTTCTAGGTGAACATAAATTATAGAATATTTAATAAATATTATACTTTTACATTATATAATACTGCATTGCCAAAACTTATAATAGTTTAATAATAAACAGGAGTGATAACTTACTAATGGATTATGACCTCTTAAGTTTGTCCATTTGTCTAAAGGCTCACTCAGTACCTGAATAGTTTTATGAATATTTGTCATTAAAAAAATTATAAAAAAGAATTAAAGTAACTATAAAAAACAAGAACTAATATAACTTCCTGTAAAGTACTAGGAAATAAGCTAGAATTATTCTGGAGTGCTTTTCAATTTTTTTTTATGTTATGAAATACAAAAGGAAATGACTAGAATTCTTCAACATACCATTTAAGTGTTTTTTAATTTTTCATTTCTAAGATAAGCAGCACACACAAAAAATATGACTTTAAGTCTAGACGGTTAGATGGGTAGGCTACCATCTTTATTTGTAAGCAACATGCCCAAAAGGTATGTTTTCTCCAAAATGAGTATTCTAGATACTGGTATCAGTATACAAAAATTTGTGTCAGTGACAAAGAAAGAATTAATTAACCATTGAATATCATAACTGATATAGTCTTTTTGGATGCTTTATGTTTCATTTTTTTTTTTTTTTTTTTTTTTTTAAAATTATCTTTAAAAAAAAAAAATCTTCATCTTTATTTTAATTTTAGAGACATACTAAGTACACACTAAAATTAAGAATGTTTACTTCACAATGTGAAAGATGTTCAAAATGTTGAAGCAAGGTAGTTTTCCCACTTCCTATGTTGCCTTCCACAACAACCTGGAATACGTATTATGAAATATCTCTTATGAGAAATTTTTATCATAAAGGAATATTATACTACAGCCAAAAAGTTATACATTTTTCTGACATCTTAGAAAACTTAAAATTATCTCATTTTATTGCAGTTCTATTTTTTTATAACTATGATGTTTTTCATTTCATTTAACTAATAGAATTCTATGGTAAACTTTGTGACTGAAAAAAATGTAAGTAATGACATACTGTAAAATTGTTCTTGCTTTTGTGCGGAATATGTTCTTTGAGTTCTAAAAAAGAGTTATTTAAAAACATTTCAAACTCACACACAGCTGAATTAAATAAACAAAACAGTTAAACAAAATTAATTGCACTTAAGGCAACAGTAAGACTATTATAGTCTTTGGTCCTTATTTGAAAATTAAGGTTAGAAAGAATTAGGTTATGATATATTTTACTGAATCTTGTGCTGAATGCAAAATAAGAAGATTAAAAAATTTCTCAAATTATTATTGGTGCCCAAAGATAGTTGTTGCAACTAATGAAAATCATACCTCTTTTTAATAGGAAAAGTTTGAGAATAACATATAATTTCTATATTTTAAGGCAGGAAGAGATTGTTTTGCATTAACTCATCAAAAGTTTATTAGATAATGAGTTAGGTAAATTATAACTAAATGCTTCTTGTGTGAGGTTAAAAATATAATATGTTGTAATTGGAAAGAAGGGTTTTGGGACACCATATTCAACATGCACAATTTGTCATGAGAAACTCAACTAATTTAATCTCTATAATAACTATTACACCATTAGAAATTATGTACCGTAATTATTCTTAAGTTTTTCACAATAAATAAAATAAACATCTTCATGTTGAATTATTTTTTACACTTTTATGCTTTCTATTTTTAAAGGATCATTAGAACCAATAGGAGTAAATATGTTTCCACAACAAACATTAATCTTTCAGTAATATTGGGTCAGTAGCAACTTTATTACTGTTAAATAATAGTAAATGCTTTTTTTTTTTTTTTTTTTAATTGATAAACTTAATTAGCTTAATAACCACCACCCTTACTAAATTTTGTTTTTTCATTTTACAATTCAATTATCTTTTGATTATTAGAAGTAAATATTTTTCCACAACAAACATTAATCTTTCAGTAATATTGGGTCAGTAGCAACTTTATTACTGTTAAATAATAGTAAATGCTTTTTTTTTTTAAATTGATAAACTTAATTAGCTTAATAACCACCACCCTTACTAAATTTTGTTTCTTCATTTCACAATGCAATTATCTTTTGATTATATAACCTACCATCTAAGCTCATTCCTTTCAAAGTTGCTCCTTTAGCAAACATAGAATATTGAACTCTTTGCTTTCTTAAGCACTTGTATACCAATGCAAAGACACTATTCTGGCTTGAATGGAATGTCCTCCAACATGAATGTATAAGAACCATTGGAATCTTTTGCAGTCTCTATAAATTAGATTAAATTGATATTCAAAATAAACAACATCATAAAAAATATGTTAAATTACAAATGGGAAAAATTAATAATTCTATTTTAGAATTTATGTCATATCAATATAAATAATTTGTTTTTTGTATTTGATAAAACAAAATAAATAAATTATTACGGGTATATTGATGGTAAAAATAATATTAATTAAATGGTGTTACATTGGTCTTAGATGGGAAACTTATAATACCCATGCATAATCAAGTGAAATACCATAATTTATTATAATATAAACATTAGAATCTTTGAAAATTATTAAGCAACACTCAAAACTAAGAAATCTAATGAAAATAAATTATGTGTTTGCTTAAAGTTCAATGCACCCAATGTATACTTTGAAGAGTGAATAGCATCAACTCTGTAGTCACTGTTGTGTATCTCCTGCCCTGAGGCACTTTGCTTAACCCAGAAAAATTGTGTAAAAAGATTGCACACCCCTTGTTTATTACATTATTATTATGAAACTGCATCAATTGACATTAGTTCTTTTATCATATAACATTGATTCTAATCTAATTCATATTCTAAGGATGTTCAATTAAAAGCTTGAAAATCTTATTCTTACATTTAAAAGCTTGAATATCTTCATTCTAACATTTTTTAAGGCCTAAATCTGATAACTCTTTTAAATGCACCTAATTCTTGAAAAAGTTTTCATTAAATTACATGCCCTTAAACTTAAGGGGGTTAACAAGGCTGAAGTTAATAAGTTAGGCAAGGTGATACTGATAGTGATACCAGTAAAAAAAGTGCATTTCAGGCGCGTATAATTATAATTTATGTATTTTTATTATTTGTATTAAGACTAAACTAAGACATGCGAAAATTTGAATTTAAAATTTAATAAATATTATAATTTTACAATATTATATATAATTATAATTAATAATAGAATATAGTATATAGCCTTCGAACCTGAACTTCAACATTACCAAATAAAATACTATTAGTATATTATTAGTAATTTAATAGTATAATTTTAATCAACAATGCTCAGTTTGTGTATTATAATAATAATGATAATTAATATTAATCTACATCTAATTGTTGCTACAACATTAGATAGAGTTCATTAGTCATGAGTTAGAGTTTTTAGACTCATTAAAATAAATCATTAGATCTTAGATAGATATGCGAACATTTTAAATTTAGTTCATAGTATTAGTCTCAGATTGCGCATCTAAATCATCTACTATAAAATATCATTAGCGCTTAAACGTTTTATTTATAATCTTACAATGATAGTTAAGGTAGTTTACACTAAAAATTAAAAAATTTAGTTGACACTTGAAATACGGTGGCCAGCACTACTCGTAGTAATATTTTGATTTATTTAAGAGTGTTGTCCCTTCATACGATTTTTTTGTAACTACTCGCACAATTCTGAAATTATTAAACACATTTGATTCTGTATTGTTTTAATTTTTTTCTTTGGACGTTATGCTTGTATTAACTTTACTTCTATTATAATCATTTCAGAACAATGATGACCAGCCAAGGGATGGATATATAAATATATTGCACAGTTGAATAAGATATATAGTTAATATAGCCTATTTTATTAAATTGCAATATGTATTAAATATTATAAGGATAACGGACCGTCCATGACCATGAAGTAGCCTACATCACGTAGATTTTTACCCCCACCCCACCCAAATTTTTAAAAGTATTCAACACTTTCCAACTAAAAAAAAAAAAATGTTTTAAAAATCAACAACTAGATCTAATTAAAATGTGTCTAAAACACCCTTCACTATTAAAATTTTACACTATTATGAAAGTCTAACAAACAAGACTACTAAAGTGGCATCTTCTTTCAGAAAACAGAAAACAACAAAAAGCTAAACATCACTATCAACATCTGCTACTATGTTATATGTCTGTCAAATATATATGTATATATATATATGTATATATATATATATATATATATATATATATAGACTATATATAATATATATATATATATATATATATATATATATATATATATATATATATTTATATGTCTGTAATATATATATATATATATATATATATATATATATATATATATATATATATATATATATAGCCTATATGTAATATATATATATATATATATATATATATAAATATATATATATATATATGAGTGACTCACAAATTATCTAAGACTTAAACTTAAGTCTAAACCCCACCCCCCACCCCGTCACAAACTGACATAATTTCTTAGCACCCCGCCCTCTTTTCCTGTCCGTAGCGTGACGTATTTTATTAACAACCTTTATTATAATATTGAATAACTTTAAATATAGACCTTTACTTATATTATTATTATGATAGTATAAGTAGGCCTTATAGGTCCATCTCTAATTATTTAGTCACTAGTAAATCAAAAGGCTAAAAAGGGCTTCATCTCTTATTTGTCGTATGACATGAATAATAATGAATTATTTATTTTTATTTTTATATTTCTTATTTTATTTATTTGGGGTGGGGGAGGGGGTTGATCAATAAGTAAATCCTTTTTTAAATTTGAATTAGCGTTGCATTATGTCCGATTTTCAAAATCAGCATTCACTACTCAGTACGGTACTTTGACTTTAGTTATTGCAATTTGAGAAGAAGAAAAAAAAAATCAAATAAAAAGAGCTGGGGATCCAGACCTTGGTCCCTGTATAATTCTTTACATATTTTTTATTAGTTCGCCGTTCATTTTATTTACACGGAAACGGCTAACAAATCGTTTTTATTTAAGGTTGAATTTTAAAATTAAAAAAAAAAAAACACGTATGTAGGCCTACATGGCCGTTTTAAAAGCAACGAGTGCCCTGGGAAAAGTAATGCACTGAGGCATTCAACAACCTCTTCTAGGACCGGGTACACTGTTTGCTAGGAAAAGATTTGGGGACTCAGGTTGGTCCATGCGCTTTGACCAGTGTTTCTTTAAAAGACAATTCGGGGGGGGGGGGGGGGGGGGCACACAAAAAGTACATGTGCGGCTCAGGTAAAAAATGTTTCAACGCCTGAGCAATTGCAGCTGAAAGTAGTTTCTCTGCGAGATATTTCGATTGCTCAGTGTAACATTGATCTAACGTAACGTGTTCTTAATTTCATGTTAAGTTTTCTGAGAATGGAAATTTGTTAAAACCTATAATTCATCGGTCTTCAAAATATTTACAATAACAAAATGATATTAAAATCATTTACAACACTTTTTGTTGTTTTTGTCCACCACCCTCCCCCCTTTTCTGCCCCCCCCCCCTTTATGCCTCCGATTGCTGTGAGCCTTTGTGCCCGCACTTGGCATCCAGAAAATCTGGTTAGCTTACCATACCCACTTTCAAAATATTTACAATAACAAAATGATATTAAAATCATTTACAACACTTTTTGTTGTTTTTGTCCACCCCCCCCCCCCCTTTTCTGCCCCCCCCCCCTTTATGCCTCCGATTGCTGTGAGCCTTTGTGCCCGCACTTGGCATCCAGAAAATCTGGTTAGCTTACCATACCCACTCTTTTTCAGTCGTCCGTCACCAGGTGCACACTTGCTGAGAAAGTCTACAATGTCACGTGTAATAAAAACAAATAACTTTAATAACGCTCCACAAAATGGAATTGCGAGTAGAGAGAAAGTCTATTAAAATATTTATGACGTAATCATAATAAAAGTCAAATAAAAAGACAGACTTTTAATAGATCTTGCTCCGGTCTCTGGTGCAGTGGGAAATGCGTCCACCGTTCCGCCAGACTTAAAATTTTGGAAAGGGCTGACATGAAATTTAATGAAACCAAATGCTACACAATGACTTCAATGTGCATCTCAAGCAAAAAAAAACCAAGCTATATGCACTCACTAAACGAAACAATTCTCCAACAAGTATCAAATCATCCATACCTTGGAATGTTCTTCTCAAATAACCTAAAATCGTCACCCCGTATGAAAAAATTTAAAAAAAAAAAAACAACTCCACACTAGGTTTCATTCGAAGAAATCTGCGCCACTGCCCAACTTCCTGCAAACGAAATGCTTATCTTGCACTCGTCCGTCTACTACTAGGATATGGTGCAATCATCTGGGACCCACACATAAAGCAAGGCGTGGACAAGATGGAGCGAATCCAACGTAACTCGGTGCGCTTCATCGCACTTGACTACAAATCCAACACTTCTGGCTTCGTCACTGGCCTCTTAAAAAGATTTGACATCCCCTAGCTTAAAGACAGACGAGAGGGGCTCCGCCTATTATTCTTATATAAAGTTGTCATGGGGCTGGTGCCGGCCATCCCAGCAGGCACGTACCTCACCCCACAGAAGCCGGGTCGATTGATCAGAGCCAAACGCTCTGAATACCCGGTATGTTTTTTTCCAAAACATACTTTTTTTTAATTGTAAACCACAAGTTTTCAAATAATCAATTCCAAACCGACTGTAATTTCAAAAGAGGTCACCCACATTCAAATCAATTGTGTGATCACTTATTATCACTGATACTATCGTTTCATTTTTATCACCATTTCTTGTCATAAGCATTTTAAAATATTTTGTTAAAGTTGCTTTTCCATTAAAAATGAATGGAAAATAACATGCAAAGAATTCGTTTTAAATTGTTAAGAAAGTAGAAATCTAATGAGTACATTTAGTTGCACGCATGAAAAAATATTCAGATCCAAAAATATCTCAAATTTGTTATAATGCACACAAACTAGTTCAATTTATTCAAATTTAAACCAACACTTGCTCTTTACATCTGTTATACATATTGATTCCCAGCCATTTTTTCTTCTTCTGCACTTAACTCTGCAAAATAAGGCAGTGAACATTCCATTACTTCAATGTGTACGGTGCAACTTCAGTGCCACCTTGGCTGGTTTTGTGCTATAGGCAAGAACATAAAATGCTGTCCCTTAATCAGAACTGTTGTCTTTAGCATTTCCACATGCACATTTGGAAAAGAACAACAAAGCCCATTTGACATAGATAAAGAGAGCAATTAAGCTAATCCGACATTCATAAAGAAAGCAGCTAATTTGACATAAGTGAGCAATCAAGCCTATTCTCTGATATTTCTGTTATTCTTCTTGATAAAGCAAATAACTTATCCCTAAATTCTGAAGGTCTGTGCATTCTTGGAAAATTGTTATTTTATAATCAAATTTCCTTTTTAGTGTCATAAAAAAATCCAAATAAGTCCCTTTGAGATGATAACTGTAAAAATCGCTTATCAACTAAATGAAGTGTATCCAAAATATGGTTAATGGAGTAAACTCTTAAATTTTAATTATGGGGATTTCCTGGAGGAAAGTGCATTTAATATTAAGTTCTTCTGACAATGATTTAGCTATTGTACTTGGTCTTTAGCAAAGCCCTCATTTGCCCTGCTATACAGTAGCATAGTTTTGCTGCATTCATTTGTTTGAATGATTTGTTCAAAAATCTCAGTATTTATTTTTTGTAACAGTTTTCTAAATAATTGAGCACAAATAAAATGTTATACATACTCAAACCAAATAAATAAAATTAAATAAACAAATGAATTTGAAATTATGGATTTTTAGTCCAATTTCCTTTGCTTCTGTGTGGGAGTGAATTCCATGGTCCATGTAGTCCACTTAGTGAAACGTCGTCAGAAATTTAAACAAGTGGATTGTAAATTTTAAATGTCTGGTATCGTATTACCTTCTCAGCATTAACTCTTCTTTCCCTATGTTCTGCTCATAATTTTTTAACAGTCTCTTTGACATATTCCATCAATACATTTCCCGAATGTGGTGATGGAGAAAAAATGTTTATTTAAACTACTGGTATATCAAAAAACAATAGTGCTTCTGGTTCTAAGCTCCAACTAGTCGTCACTACTGCATGTCATTCTGTTTTGGCAAAAATTTTTAAAAATCTATATCACCTATCTTTACTACCTATCTTTACTCTTTATTAACAAGGATTCTTAAACTAGCAAGAAGAGAGAGTCTGTACTCTCATGTCAAGGCAATAATGCATGCATCAAAAGACAACACAAATACTGTTATTTTTATTTGGTAATATTTACCATACATTTTTTACATCACAGTCCCACCAAATTATTATTAAGCAGAGTGTATAAAATTGTACATTTTAGGGCTTAACCAGTTGCAGTTATTTTACACCGGGTATTTAGAGAAAATACCCGGTGGGTCCAAGTGTTAGAAAAAAAAGGAATCAAATTCTCATTTTCTATAATACATGCCAGCCTTAAAACAATAGCCCTACAAACAGTCCTCCAGCCAATCTAACGGCATTTAATAAGCGTACAGACAGTGCTACACCCTACCTTCCAGCCTTTAAACAATGGCCCTACAGACAGTCCTACACTCTACCTTCCGGTCTTTACACAATAGGTCTACAGACACAACTACACCATACCAATGACTCTTTATTGATTAATTAAAAAATATAATAGTCACCTCCCCTTAAAGAAAAGAAAATCAAACTATTTACCTGAGTTCAACCGTCACACAAAACTGTGTGAGTCTTTTTTTCTTCTCTCAGTACTATTGATATAAAACATGTGGAGCTGGGGAGAGGGCGATTTTGAAGGGGAAGCAGGACAAACCGGAGCTATATATATACTATTAATATTATAATAAATCCTTTGTGTATATGTATAGATCATAAACTTACTTTTCTTTAAAAAGCTTATAATTCTATTGCATTTTCTGTCAATGAAATAAAACAACTTTTGAGCATGTATAGAGGTAAATAGGGTAATAAGCAAAAAACAATGTAGCTGTAAACATCCTGAGATTATATAATCAGGACATAAGTATAATATAGTTACCATGTGGAATAGTTAAAATAACAATACCACTGAGGCTCTGTGTGTCACAAATAACTAGAGAGAAGAGCATCCTATTTTTATTCAATGTAATTAAGTATGGGAAAAATCTAAAATTAATTGAATTTAGAGGGGGAGGTGTGAGTGTCGTTTTACACAATATTTTGTGTTGTAATTTAAGAGACAAGCTCTTTGACAACTTGAAAAAAATAGTCTTAAGTCTTAAAGAATAAAAACAAATTTCCATAACATTGACAATTTCAGATAAAAACTTATTTTACATGCTTGTTTTAAATGATATAATGTAAAATGTACAACTAACACGTTGAAAGGTACAGATTTGATGATTGATTTATTTTATTTTTTAAATAATTTTAAATATATTACTATTAATATTAGATAATACCGGTACCTATGGATTTTCAAATATTTTATTTATATATTTATTATGATTCAGTTTCTTTATAGTAACATAACACATCTCTTTAAAGTCAATTAATTTATTCTTGCATTTACATAAGGATATAGGAATTAAATCTATCAAAATTTTTCAACAACTTCTTTTATCGTTGTATACAAACTTAAAATACTGGCAGCAGTACCAAAAACAATAATACAAATATCCTTGAATCTGACACAAAAGCCAATTTTATGCCAACACAACTTCAAGTGGAAAAGACATGGAAGAATATAGGCAATTACTGAACTTCCAATGGCACCTGAAAATAAAATAAAAGCAAGAATTTAAAAGACTTTCTATCAAAGACGAGTTTAAACAAATTAAAAAGAAAATAATTTAACATTCCTTAAAATGCATTTCGCAATAAAAACTGTGCAAAAGTGTATATTAGCACTCTAAGAAGCCAAAGGATTCTAAATAAGTATAGATGAAACTCAAATGTTTTATTTTTATTACGTTTTGAAAAACATTTTCTGCACAGAATTTCTTTGCATAATGCATTTTAAAATATGTTCATTTTAACTCGCGTTTGATAGAAAGTCTTGTTTTTAAAGTTTCTAAATATTTTTTTTATTTGCTACTTTTTCGTATTAAAATTTTAATCTTTAAATTATCTACAAAAGTAGAATTATTAACTTTTATAGACATTTTGACTCAACACTCTACCTAGAACATAAAACTAAAGTAGATCTGAGTTCACCCACCCACCCGTTCACTCAACCATGAAGCAGACATGGTAAACCATGATAATTTGATCGACAGTGTCAACCCGCCTCCATCGACCCAGTTTTCTAGGCGGTCACCAGGTTAACACAGCACAAGAAAGTCTTAAAATACCACATGTGTCAAACAACAGCTTACACGCAAGACAAAAGATTACTCTCCACAAGATGGAAATGTTAGTAAAGTGAAAGTCTTTAAAATTATCTTGAGCTTATCATTTTAAATTTAAATTGATTAGAAAGTTAAACAATTTAAAAGAATTTGTAGAAATCAAATGCATAATTTCTTCACGTAAGGCAGTCTTTAAATCTCAGTTATTAGAAATGAACACATTTTTTATTTTTTACAAAATATTCTCTAGAGTAAGGTAAGTTTCTTTCATATATCTTCTTACTATTTTTACTGATCAGGGTTTCAAAATGTCTTTTTATTAATGTTGTTTTACAACTATGTAAACAAAAAATATAAAAGTTTATCTGTTCTCTCAGACATTTTTAAACAGATGCAGAACTTTTAAACATTAAGAACCAAATACCAATGAAGATAATGATAGTTTGTTTCTCTAAATTATTTCTAGACTTTAAAAAACTAAAATAAGGTTTACATACAGCGGCATATGCTAGATTAGTCCCACTGGGGCAGGACAAAAATTTTACCAGCCCACTTTACCGGAAAAAAAAATCGGCAGTCAAAAATGCCACTCCTCCATATAAAGAAGAAAAAGCTGCCAGGCGAAACCGCACACTATTCCTACTCCGCAGGCTGCATTGAAATCAATATGAATTATCATGACTGGGATTCTTCGCTGAATAACTTTTATCATGGGTTATAAAGATTAGTTGTGGGGTTCACATCCAAAATGTCTACGGCAGGAATGTTTGTCAGTCAGGAGAGCTCAATCATCTAACGCCCCCCCCCCCACCCCCTCTATCTCCCAGACCTTCTGGAGAAAATATTGTAAGAGTATATCTTTACAGGGTATAAAAAAAGGAAAGCCTTTGGACACAGCACATGGTATAACTCCAAATTCTGTAATGTGTCAGAATAACAACAAAAATTTAAAACTATTTAACTTACCAATAAAAGCGCTAACATATGCAAACAGATCTCGTAAGAGAATGGCAAGTCCAGCTGCACATAGCACAATTAGAATACGTAGGATATTTCTTTTCCAACTTGAAACCTGAAGAAGAAATCAATGCCAACGGGCTTTACATTTATTTATTGTATTCTGCTTTTATCATTTGCTGATTGTTGCTTCAGGCAATGGCCAAGGGAGGCCACTTCTGTCATTTGTCTGTTTCTGTGGGAGCTTTCTGTAGAGTTGGTTTCAAGTCTACAGATCCTTATCTATTGAATGGAAGTGAGTTTGGTTGGATTCTTCAGACCAGTCCTCTCCATTGACATGTCTGAATAGCTTCTGCAATGGTTGTCACTCTAGATCTGGCTCTCAACATAGAGCAAATGTAAATTCATTTTTGACTCATAATATACATGTTGAAATTAATTGCAAATACATTTCTCCTTATCTTTAACATAATATTCATAAGACAGTAAAATGTAAACAGCTTGTTACTTTCATACCTCATTTAATAATGTCATGATCACGGGATCAGGGGCATGTGCTTTTCTTTTTGGTAGCAATTTGGCATTTGAATTCTCACCATAAATATTTCCATCTTCCAAATCCTCATTGTCTTGATCTTTTTTTGTAGAATCACATTGATGACCTGCAGATATAATGACAAACTTTAGAGTAAATTATCTCAGGTGAACTTTTGTTTTAGACACTAGTACACCAACAATGATGCAGATCTGTTTTTAAAAAATCATTCAACCATGGCATAATTATTCATTTCAGTTTTAGAATGATTATTTTACAATGTAATTCTACTATTTAAAAAACTCTTCTTAAATCTTGTGCTTCTTACAAAAACCTACCATGTCCAAATATAAAAATTTCTGAAATTTCTATCACAGGGAAGATCTGAAGTGGAAAGGTCAATATAACACCAAACAACAAACAGATATTAATAGCCATGCCAACTGCTGTTGTTGTAGGAATATTTTTATTGAGGATCTGCTCTGTTGTTTCCCCATAGCGCAAGTAGCCAACAATACCAAAAGTTGTCAAAACCATGCTTAGTATGACTATAGAACCATGCAGAAATGGGGAAAAGTTGTGGCGATTTCCTTCCATACTGGATTCAATGGGCAAAATCTGTAATTAAAATATTTAAAAATCTCTCAGGATATTGCTTTTGTAAAACCATGGAATTTTATAGTTCATTAAAAGTCCTGTCATTTCCTCTATTGTACCTTGATTAGTAATAAGTGTCATATTTTTAGCAAAATTATTATCCACCCAAATACTTGTAAAAGTTACTGAAAAAGAATCAGAGCCATTGCCAATAGTTGATTTTATGGTTACCATAATACTCTAATAGGGAAGTCCATCTGATTGAAGAAACAGAGGTTATTGTCCCTGTTAATATTTTTCGCTGAGAAAACAGAAAACAATCTTGACTAGGACATTGCAAGTTTTTGCTTCACAATTGATAAACATGATGGCTGATCAGCAGAAAAGTCACAAGTAAAATTTGTTGCAGTTTTGCTATGTTTCATCATTTTGGCCAGACTGAAAGTTTACTATTAAAGGTAAGAATTTTTCTTTGTTATGACGGATCAAAACGCACTTGAATTTAGATGAAATAATAGAGAAAAACTATAGGTCTAGGCTTTATAATATTTAGGCTTATATATTTAATAATTTAGGCTATTACTTATCACGTTATGCCAAAGCCTATGTCAACATTCACGTAGATATACAGTAATAGTGGACTTCATAAAACTTGAAAACAAGGATTTAAGCTCAATTATATTAATTTCCTTCTCTAGTTCTTTAAGTGTATATTTTATTTAAAAAATTTTCGTGGGCATAAGAGTATTAGTAATTTTTTGAGCTTTTGTTTTGCTTACACTGGATTTGCTAAGAAGAGGCAATGAATTTTCAGTCTATAATTCATGATTATGAATATGCTGATTAGGGCTCTAGATAACCCAATCCTATTCCTGATTTCAGATTTGAGCGACAAGGGTCAATGGAACCTGCCTCAAAAAATAAGACAAGATAGGAAGAAGTACATTAACCTTCATCAATTTTCAATTTTTATTTATTCCAACAAGGCTGGAGATGCTTTGTAAATATACAAAGCAATGCAGCTGCAAATTTAGGGCAGCTACTCAAACTTGGTTTTCAAACTGGAAATTCCAAATGATGGGCAACAACTTATAACATTCATTAAACTACTTACCTACAACCCCAATTGTGAACTTTTACTGGATAAAAGGAGTTATTAACTGAATTATAGAATTCAATAAAAATTTAAATTAGGCTAACATATGGGCCTAAGTCTAAATAAGTAAGTTTCTAACAGAAAAACTGAGTAGACTACTCATAATCAAGTGTATTAACTTCCTTTTGAATGTAATGAAAAGGACATATAAATAATTATGTTTCCCTGGATGAAGTACCATCTTTCAATATAAGGCCAACATAAAAGACTACGAATTAAGAATGATGATGATTTATTACTTATATAGAAGAGGATAGGATATACTTATTTCATAAATGGAACAACATACCTGTGTATTAATTATGAGTTAAATATTTAGTTTATTATTATAAATGGTTCTAAAGCTTATGTAAGTTAACCTGGAATTCAACTACAGTGCCTATTTGATTCCGTTGTTATGAAATAGATAAAAGCTATCATCTTTTGATTATATCAATATCATAAATGCATATTTGGACAATTTGGTTAGAAAAAGAAATAACAAATTTGTTGAATGTCGTAATCTTTCATGTTAATAGTATTTCTAGTGTTACTCTATTGTTATTTGTCATTTTTTTTATAATCTGAAGAAAACAAAAAGTTTGTGAGTTTTCAGGAGTACAATATCGTTATATTTCATAACCGATAGATCTAATTGTTAATATGTACCAAAAATGTATAATTGTTATCAAAATATGATAAATGTATTATTCTCCATTTATATTATTTGGTGATGTTAATCTTATGAAAGACTTGTTAATTAAATGTTACAAATTACTATATTTCACTATTATTTTTCTTTTTATTATACAAAATTACTTTCAGAACTCAATTTAATAATAAATGCAATAGTTTAAAACAAAAATGTTTGTGTGCTTATGTTTTCATCAACCTTTACTGATTTCACACCACTAATTTGTCAAAATAAATCCCTCACAAAACATAAATCCATATAAATATTTTGTTGACAAATGGCTTTGCCTTAAAATCTGTTAACATGTCATGATTTTTTCCCTTGTAAAAGTGAGTTTGCTTAGCCTAGAAAATCTTTACAGGTATTTAAAAAGTGTCCTTTAAATTAAATATCAGCTTAATTATGATATATTTTTCAAAAGTGATATTTTTCTCTTATTTTTTTTAAGCCTAATAAATATAGAATTTACAATATAACAAAGCTGTGATTTACCAATAATATATGTTTTTGAAACTAAACAAGAATTAACAATAACATTATTGCATGACTGGTTTTTAAATTTTGTACTCATCAATAAGTACAATAACTCAGGGTGATAAGGGAAGTAATTACCCCAGATGCATTGTCCTTTGGAGAACTGCAACAGGGGTTATTACTTCCTTTATCACCCAGAGTTATCGTTCTTTAAGGGAGGGTACAAGTACAAAGAATTGCAAAGCTGACTTCGAAAACACAGCTTTACAAGAATTTGAGACCTAGCAGGTGGAAATAAATAATATTTCTTTACTTTTGGCTGAACACCATCTGTTACTGTGTACAATTTTATTACAATAACTTGATAAGTTTAAAAATGAAGTATTTAAATATACCAATATGTTGGCCACAGGCGCTTTTCAACAAATTTGTTCTTAAAATGTGATTAATTATTCTAATGGGAAATAATAATTAATAAAATGTCTTTAATTTACCAGGATACTGTCTGTTACTGTGGATAATTTTATTTGTATAGCTTTATAAACTTTATTAGGTTAAAATGAAGTATTTATATGTACCAATATGTCGAACGCAGTATCAGTAGCTTTTAGTCAAATTTACTTTTAATTTAAAATGAGGAGGTGAATTATTGCAATGCGAAATAATAATTAACAATATGTTTTTACTTTCATTGGGACATTATCTGTTACTGTGGAAAATTTTATTACAATAGCTTTATTAGTTTAAAAATGAAGTATTTATATGTACCAATGTCGGACGCAGTAGCTTTTCATCAATTTTTTTTTATTTGGAGTTTAATAACTTTAAGGATAATTAATATGATAGCTTTAATTTCATTTGGATACTATCTGTTATTTTGGAACATTTTATTGCCAGCGCTTTATTGGCTTTAAAATGAAGTATTTAATATTCTGGCACACTAACTTTTCATCCATTTTTCGTTAAAGTGAGAAGGTTAATTATTTTAATGGGAAATAACAATTGATAAATGTTTTTAATTTTAGCTGGACACTATCTGTTGTTTAAAATTGTATTTCAATAGCTTCATTAATTGAATAGCTATTCTTTTCTATTTTTATTTTATGTTTTTCTGCTATAAGAGATAGAAAGGTAATTTTGATGTTATTGGAAAGCTAAATGCCAGCCCTTTCCAATGGTATGATTTTTGTGCATATTAGATGTATCTGACATTTTTGAGTTTGAGTAATGCTAACTGTGGCAAATTAGAGTTTAAAAGTATATTGATATTGTTGCAATGAAACTAAAATACTAGAATCATCTATATAATTGAAGATTAAGTTTCTTTTTGCTTTGATTCTGACAAAATGTATTTTATGAAGTGATTACATTTATCATTTAATTACCAGTTTTCAATTTGGAGTCATCTCGATGCACTTCATTCATACAGTTACAGTTTATACAAATTAATTCTTTGAATTCGTCTTCAAACTCGAGTTATAATCTTTTAGCAATATTAATATTGAATGTCCTTTCCACATACAAATATTATCCACAAGACAAAATGCTTTCATTTAATACACACATGACTAGCAAGATGCCTTCAGTTTACAGACAATAAAGAAGAACCAAAATGACTGACACTACTTTCGGTTTTAAAAAAGCTGACAGCGTCTATTGCGACGTTTGTTTGTACTTGTCCAGACACTTTTTGTTTCTAAAGAACATAAATTGATGGAACCAAGGTGAAGGTTACTTACTGTGCCAATACCTTCAAAAGCAGATGTCACCATACCAAAAAACACAGGTAATGTTGCCCATTTGTAAAGCTCCCAATCTGATGACACACTAAAGCCTGGGATAAACGAAATATATAATAAATATAAAATGGAGGTTGAGTTGAGAGTAACTATTATGAAATAATAAGTTTTAAAAGTACATAATGTAATAGTTTAATATTTTTAAGTACCATTTAATTAGTAAATCAAGAAACTAAGCTTTCATTTAAAACTCTCACCTACAATAATGTAGACTAAGGTAACGAGACTCCCAATGAATATAGAAACATTGGCACCCACACTGACAAAACCAAGGTGCCTCACATCTCGCAAAAATGCAAATCCCACAAATACTGGTATTGGAGTCAGAACTAGCAAGCGAAGATCAGGTGATGTAGAAGTTATAACATATTCTGACACATTGTACATTGGAAGGTAAGCTGGCAATGCTGATAATGATATATTTAAGTCTATATGCTGTGACTTAAAATTTTCAGCTGTAATTTGTTCATTTACAATAGTACTATCATTATAATTTTTGGTGGTATTTTCACTTGGAAACAAAGTGTAAATTGTGTTACCGATAAAGATGAAATAGTTAACACAGAATCCAAATTGAGTGAGGAGAAGACATGCGTTGACTAGAAAAAGCCCCACTGATCCATAAGCAATCTTGCCAACATCTCCATATGTTAAGTGCCTTACCATCTGATCCTGAGACTTTTTCAAGTTATCTAGATCTCTTTCAACCTCATCTTGTTTTTCTGAGTTAAATGTAGCATTACCATTAACTGATGATGTGGGTGATGATTTGTAGGCTTCTCTACTGGATAATACATGCTTGATAGCCTCATATTTACATTTTACTATGAGGTGGCAACAGTGGTCTGTTACAGCTGCTATAATGGTTAGCAAGATGACCCCCATCTGAAATAGCAAAGATAAGAAAAAAAAGAATAAATGGAATAATGTGCTTTTGTGTGATTAGCGTGTTTAATATTTTTTGAAATTATTTATTATATCCAGCAACACACTAAAAATAACTAATTTAATCCTCCCACACTATATAACTTAATATAAAAAAAATTTAAATAAAGGTTGTGTCCAAAAAATTATTTGGATAACAAATTGGATGGTTTATAACAAAGGTCACATATAAAATTATAGAAAAAATTGAGAAAACTTGCTAACATTTAGTTAGTTTGTGTATGAAATGGAGGGAATTAAAACATTTTCTTCTATTTTTCTCTATTAGATTCATAATGTGTGTTGCAAACTAGGGACACACCAGGTGAAATCGGCTGCACTATATTTGCATTTTAATTTTTTTTTCTCGTCACTAAAGTTTTAATTTATTTAGTAATATTGCTTAATGGAGCAAAAAAATGTATATTTAATGGATAATTGATTTTAAACTGGATTCAGATAAAGTTTTAAGAGAGGCTAGGTAGTTATGCATACTTTTCCATTTGCTCATGATCTATTCTTTGCCTCAAAAGAGATTCATTTGGTCGCTTTTTGTTTTATTGTCTATTAAACATGTAATTGGTTATTTTTAAAACATAAAATTTATGAAAAAGAGTCCTAGCAATATGAAAGAAAGTTCTAATTTTCAACTTAAATGGCAGGGGAGAGTAAAGGAAACAGAACATTTTAAAGGCTGAAGATTGAGATGCAATATGAAAGAAAAACAACTCAAGCACATCTAAACTTTAGAACCCATGATTAAAGTTTCATTGGGAAGACTTGCTGTCATGACTATTCTTATTGTTTGCTTTTGGAAAATAGTTTCACAAAATTTTGTGATGTTGACATTTTAAAATAAATAAATATAACACTATTAAATATTGTTTATACTCTTTATTTACAATTCCATATACTCTAGTGTAGGCTAAATATAAAACAAGGCTATTAATTTTGAAAATTTTTCACAAACTGGCATACTAATTCATTTAAATAAAAGAGTTGCAGAAGACTTCAACAATGCTTGGTAAAAAACAGTGGTCCTTTGTTTTTTAAAGCTGAAAAATAAAATATGGTTTTCTTATCTTTCATTAACTGTATATTTACTTTTCCATTTTAACAACACTCAAGTATGGCATGTATAAAAGATAATAATCTGGATAAAAAGCATCTTTAATATCTAGCTGTGTAATGATATAAAATGTCTCTAAACTGATAAGATGATGTTCATGTAGGTCGGAGTCTCAAACTGATACAACCATGTTATCATTTAAGTTCTTTTTTCATAAAACGTCTAGAAATATTTCCATGTATTTAGTGTATAAATATACTCTTATCAATGGAGCTATAAATTAGTGCTTCTTACCAATTTTTGGAGTTAATTTAGTTGGGATTTTTAAAATCATAAAACTAAATTATCAAAACTCATGTACTTACTTTATGGAATATTTTGTTTCTTAAGATAATTGTTTCCCCCCACAAAATCCAAATGGGGAGAAAATGCCACAAGTTGATTTCTACATATTTTTAAAAATAAAAGTTTGATAACATTCACAGAGTCATTTTATTGGAATAAAACTTACTAAAATTCCACTTTGTGTGAATGCATATGCAATGGTCAAATAATTTGAACCAATAAAAGCTTTCAACATGTTCCCAAAATCGCTGACCATCAAAGGCCATTTTGACTTTTCCCTATAAAAAATAAACATCAATGTATTATTTTAATAATTATAAGATTCACTTAGCAAACAAATTTTTAAGAGCTGTTTTTAATTTAAGTTCAAGAGTTCAAGCAAGGAATTATGTGCTAACATTAAAAAATAGTTTATATGATGTCATTTCTAGTTTTTTAAAATTCAATAAATAAATTGAAATTTTCTAGATCTAAGTTTTTTTGAAAATAATTTACTAAGAAATTGTTTTAATTATAATTTAATTTCACTAACAGTGTCATTTCAAAGTATGCAAATTATTTAAAATTCTGTGTGATTGAATGTGATATTCAAGTGTAGAGTGTAGTGTAGTGACAAAAGAAATTTTCATGATCATTGTAACTGTAAATAATATTAAACATTTTAATTTATTAGTAGTAGGCCTGAAATAAGATCAAAATGCAGTTTGCCACCCCCCCCCCCCCAAAAAAAAAAAAAAAAAAAAAAAAAAAAAAAAAACCCTCAAATTTCTAAGTTCTGTGGCGATCGTGACATATTGTTGTTAGGAGACCCCTCAAAGTCAAAGGGGTTGCCATGGTCACGACCCACTGGCTAAGAACTACTAATACTGTTAGCCTATAAAATACAATATAGCCCATGTCTGTACTATAACACACTGAAGATGCTTTAACAATATTTGTCATTAGTTTAGTAGCCTATTTGATATTTATTCTTCTATCTGACAATACTGACATAAGTTATGTCGTGTTATTCTTCCCTGTTATCTTTGACATTTGTGATTGCTAGTCATGATGATTAGTAGTAATTTAAAATTAGTAATGATTAGTCATTAAACTTGGTCTCTTAACCCAACTTGAACTTGACTTAGTTTACTTAAGCCTAAGCAGCATTTAAATGAAATGCTCGCAAATCTAGGGATTAATGTAAAGATCTCTCCAAATTAGCTGTAAGGCTTACCTGACATTATTGACAGTCTTTTCAAATGCAACGTCGGGCTCATCGTGTTCCAAGTTTGCCGTGGTCATAATTTAATTTGGCCATCAACCTTCTTGAATGCCTAATTGGATAGCCTAGCCTACACTCAATAAAACCAACAGGCCTAGTTAAATTTTAAAAATTATTGTTAAGTGGCATAAATAAATTGGTCCATATATGATATATGGCAAAGATAACAAGCATGTCTATTATTAGTGCTGCCTGGATTGGACCAAGATTTTTCAGCCCCCTTGCTATGAGAAAAACTTTGCAGTTAGCTAAAATTATCGCCGGGCGCGTCTCAATTAAAAGGGGGGAAGGGGCTCACAACTTATGTCTTGTACCCTCCCACTTTTTACTGAAATAGCTGATCAAATGATTATTTTAAAATCAACGGAGGCCTACTATTTACAGTACTAAATAAAGTATCAGTAGGCCTACTATTTAGGGATGGCCAATTTATAATTGCCAACACTTATCTTTAACAAAAAATATATTTAAAAAGGAGGATGAGGATGCATTTTTTCAGCGGGTTAAGGTATTTTGAGAAAATACCTGGTGGGTTCAAGTGTTACACACACAAAAAAAAGAGTTAACCTATCATTTTCTATAATATTAATATGCAACTGCCCCATGTCATAGTGAGAGTGTATTGCCTTAGTTAACCGTTTGTGTCAAGAAATAACTACGGATAAAAATAGGCAGTTGTCGGATCCCAGAATAGAGATTATGTTGTACAAAAAACCGTCGACAGAAAAGATACTGATACTGTCGTTCATTTTATAACAAAGATATACTTACAAAACAACAGGCGCAGTATAACGAAAATTTAATAGCAATACTTTCCAGGCTTACGGGCACACACATGGCCGAAGTGAAAGGACGGCCCATGACCTAGTTCTGTGTGTTGTGCAGCCCCCCAGAATAAAGATGTGAAAAAAAAAGTAACATTTTTTTTTTTTTTACCCAAAAAAATCTTGTCTAAAGAAATAAAAATCAACCTGTTTACCGGAGTTCAGGCGTAACGCGTGAAGCTCGCTGCGTGACTGCCTTTTTCCACTCAGACCTATTCATTTCATATAAAACATGTGGAGTTTTTTTTGGGGGGGGGGGGG